TACTGGTCCCTCCTCTTTGCTCCCTACTTTTGCATTCCAGTCACCAGTAATGAGCAATACATCTTGATTGCATGTTTGATCGATTTCAGACTGGATCTGTAGACTCAATCTACAGATTGAGTAAGTATGGTTAAATAATTCAACCGTGGTGCACATCTTTCCTAATTTTAAACCATTCAGTGTTTGCCTTTTTCTGTTTGAACAAATGTTTCTGGTATATATATGTGTTCTTTACATGCATAATGAAGTATTCAGGAATAATCATCCTCTGAAATGTTGTCTATAATTTACCATGATCCAGACAATCGAAGGACTTTGAACATACATAAAGCATAGGTAAACATCTTTCTGGTATTCACGTCTTTCATCCAAAATCCATCTGTCGTCAGCAATGATATCTCTTATTCCACATCGTCATCTGAATCTGGCTTGAACCTCTGTCAGGTCCCTTAAATGTATTGTTGCAGCCATTTTTAAATTTTCTTTAGAAAAAAAATTATTTTTAATCAGTATTAATAATATTGTACAATTATTTATGCATTCTGTTATGGCTTTTTTCTTTGTGATGAACACAAATGTGAATCTCTTCTAATCACCTGGCCAGGTAGCTATCTTCCAAAGTTTTTGACATAGATGAGTGATTGCTACCAGTGCTGCATCAGCTTTTGAAAGATTTTAATTTGCATTCCATCAATTCTGGAGCCTTGTTATTTGTTAATTCCTTCAATGAACTTCAAACTTCTTCCTTTAGTATTATTGTTTTCTGATCATGCAATACCTATTTTAATGGTTGAATATTTACCAGTTCTTTTTGGTACAGTGACTCTGTGTTTTCCATGGACCTTCTTTTGACGCTTTTTTGCATCAATATTTTCCCAATAGAATCCTTCAATATTACAAGTTGAAGCTTAAAATTGGTCTTCAGTTCCCTTAGCTTGAGAAATGCTGAGCATGTTCTTAATTTTGGCTTTCTAACTTCAGATCTTCACATATTTCAGTATAATATTTAACTTTGTCTTCCTGAACTGGCCTTTGACCTTTTTTATTAATCTGTTTTACATCCTCATTTCTTCATTTATTTTAGCATCTCTATGCTGGAAGGAAATTACAGAATCTTTTCTCACATCCATTTTGGTCATTTTATTCTTTCTTGTCTTCTGAATGATGCTTTCGAATAAGCACTGGGTTGTGAACAACAAAGTCTGTGGTTCAAATCCACCAGTAGCTCCTTGGAAACCATAAGCATGGTTTATATGAGTCTGACTGACTTGACAGCACTTAACAACAACAATAACAATAACAACAACATCTCTGGATCTGCTTTTGCCTCTTGTGGTAGCCATTACATAATCACTTGGTCTGATAGGTTTGCAGCTCAGGGCCTGTGTTAAAAAGTTGGTCAATCCTGGCAAAAGTTAATTATAGAGTGGGTCATAAACTGACCAATTCATGGCAAATTTGTGGCCTGGCCCATTATTTTAAATCATCATTTTTAACATTGTAAAACCAGAGTCAAAAACACCATACAAAGAAACATATTGCAGCACAATGCACAAGAAGCTTTGGCTAGTGAATTGAATGTGCAGTGTTAATAAATATTTTTATTTTTAGCTATGATTTAGTTTTTAAAGGTCCATGTTAAAGGGGAACATGTAAAGAGTGGGGTCTGTAGTAATTGGGAGTAAAAAAGTATACTTTGTGCCTGTATCAATATAAAGGACCAATCCAAGCATGTTTTTGCATGAGGAAATATGACTTAGGGTATGTCAGAATTGGGAGTTGCACTAAATATCATTGATATAATAAATATTTATCAATGTATTTAGTGTGCATTAAGTGAGATACTAGATACCATAAAAATTTTTTGTCAACTTAAATGAAACCCTGAAAATTCTCAAAAAAAACCCAACAGAATAGCATTTAGAAAATGCTCAAACCCAGATATAGTGACTTGAAAACTATTGGATTAGAATAAAAGCTGTATTTAAAATAATCTTCCATTAAAATTTGCTTACATTTAAGACTGGTAATATTTACTTAAGAAAAACTATGAACATATCACTAAAGCCTGTAGTTGCAGTTACATGTATATTTCCTTATGGGCAACTATCACTGCAGTAGTTAAAATTTTTTATCACAACTATACTGGAACATATTTGAAACATTACTTAAGAGCTAAATTTTATTTTCCCTGGTGTAATACCCTTTAAATTTAGGGTTCTCCATCAACAACTTTCAAGTACTAGAATTTTACAGTACACAGAAATTTGACACAATTTCATTTGTTCTTTTACTTACAAAATGCCTTGAAGGTTTCAAAGTCATAATAATTATTATTGTGAAACAGAATTTGAAATGAAAGACAATTTTATTGCTGCAGAAAAAAATTCACCTATAAACATAAAAAAATCTACTGTTATTGCAACAAATATAAAAGCAAAAAGTTGCAGTCTCTGAAAAGTGAAATTGTACACAGAATACATAGTCTTGAGATCTTCATATGTAAATATTGTATAATTATATGAGCATCAAAGTAACCAGTACTTTACTTTTAGATAGATGGTTCCTTTAAAGATGTTTTATTCGTATTACTTCTATTATCTAAGACTGACATCTTAAAAAGGATAATGAAGTAAAATAAGAGTCATCTGTTTACTTTAAAAAGGATCCATGGGCTAGAAATAAACAGAAGTAATTTCAAAAATGCATTTATTGAACTGGAAAAACAAAAGAACAATAGCTATACTAATACTAATTTATAAATACATAAGGATTTGACATTACCTGCTCCTCAGAAACCCTATGTAGGGTAGCTATGGGTCAGAACCGACTATATGACACATAGCAACAACAAGTGCACTGTGGGATAATACTCTGAACTGCATCTTCGGTTTGAACTGCAATGTTGTCAGTTCAAATTCACCAGCCATTCGGAAACTCTACACAGAGTAGTGATGAGTAGGAACCAACTTTTTTTTTTTTTTTTTTTTTACTTTAAATGCATTTTATTTTAGATAACCTACACGTTTTTCCCTTAACAACAACAAAAAAATGCCTCTGCACCAAATAAATCAAGGTTTCAAGATGACATCAGTCCCATTTTGTCCAAGTCCTGGTGTTGTGTGAATGAAGAGCAGCAGCCAGCTAGGATGACAGGTGACAGGTCCAAATAATTGCCAAATTTGTTAACATTTTTCCATTTCTAAACCATCTTTAAAGAAAATCATATATGCGGTGACAACATCTTCACGATAGTCCAGCAGAGCAACCATCCCATCTGGATTCATGTTTTCACCAGTAAAGAACTGGTAGTTTTTGAAATTAGCCAGGATGTGCTTGATTTGCTCTGCAGCCCCTGTCATAAAGGATTTTACTATTTCTGGTTTCTGTTCTTCAAGTTTGCCTTTGATTGATTTCATGTAATCTTTGATGTACTTCTTGTAGGCTTCTTTTGTGAAGCTGGTTTCCTGCAGGTGATGGTTCATGACAATGTTAACCCCCGTGACTACTGTGCTTTCGGTGCCTTCACTGTTGGTGCCTTCAGCGGAAGCGTTTCCACCGATGAGTGAGTCGTCAATGTTACCCTCTGTCCTGCTGACCATGGCTGATGAGGTCCCGGTAGATGATCATGATGGCGGCTGGCAGACGGCAGCGGCACTAGCTTCAGGAACCAACTTTAAAAAGCAATGGGGGGAGAACAAACAAGATGGCGGATCGGGTGGACTTATAGCAGAGAGCTCCGCCAACAACAACACAGAATACCCGACCAAGCAGGCTCAAGGGATGGTCCCAGAACTCTAAACCACATATAAAGGAATGCTTAGAAGGTTGGAAGGCTCTCAGCTGGGGAAATTTGTGGCAGAAGCAAGAAATCTATTGCTTTCTAGTCCGGGATGCTTGGCTGCTCCAGGAGCCGCCATCTTGGGTGAGACCACATGGGGGAAAGATTGGAGTGGCCACAGACGCCTGGCAGAACCGCTGAGATAAAGGTGTGGACATTCTTCTCTTTTGGTAGCTGTTCATTGGTCCCTTGCTGTCTGCGCACCTCC